GTTCAGGCGCCACTTGTGGCTGTCCTGCAGCGACGGACTTGGTGCACGGAACCAATAATAACACGCGTGGACCCTGACTGATGGTCAAAGCCGAAGTTTATTAGGGCCACAGGCAGGGAGCTGGAAAGGAAGCAGGGCTGCCGGGATAGAACCGGCGCCCATATGGGATCCTGGGCGTGCAACCTTAACTACTGTGCCACTGCGCCGGGCCCAGTAGCATGTTATTCAACTTCCCTGGCCAGACATTCACTTCCCTACAGAGCCATGGTTGGGGCCCGTGTCTCCTTGCTCCATGATTTTGGTGCCCAAATGCAGTTATCCACCCATCCCGTGTTCAGAAGAACAAGTGGGAATTAGTTTTCAGAGAAGAAAACTGCATGAGAGACAGAGAGCATAAGATTTCAAAACCTTTGGAAAGTGTCAAATTGGTAGTCAGTTGCAACTTGGTACCCATAATCAAGCACTTATGTGAGATGGGACAAACTTGGCCAACTGTCATGACAAATCTGAAATCAGCTGTGATGGGGCTGGTGCAATGACACCTGGCTAACCCTCAGCCTGCAAACACTGGTTCATGTCCCAGCTGCTCGACTTCCCATCCAGCTCCCGGCTTGTGGCCCGGGAAAGCAGAATAAAATAGACTAAAGCCTTGGGAACCTGCTCCCATGTGGGAGACCTGAAAGAAGCTCCTGGCTCCTGGCTTCAGATTGGCTCAGCTCAGGCCGTTGCAGCTCTTTGAGAGTGAACTGGTGAATGGAAGATGTCTCTGTCTCTCCTCTCTGTATATCTGCTTTTCCAATAAAAGTGTATAAGTCTTAAAAATTCAGTTGTAGAGTAGTGTATGTGTGCCTATGAATGTGTGCAGAGCTCACATGTATGTACTGTGAGCTTGTGTCTGCATAGAAAGCATGTGTATATTGTGTGCACATATATGCACATGTGTGAGTTCCTACACATGAGCTGTGATGTGTGTGTGTGCACGCACATCTTGAATGTTCTTAGGGAGAATGAGGGATGCTAGTAGAGCAGGCCTGGTCTAGAGAAAACCTGGCTTGATTTCTCCTGCTGAGCCAGCTGCACTCATTCTCTGCAGGCAGCAGGTGTTTGATGAAGAACCATTTGTGGAGATGCTCAATTCCTATTGGCAAACACTTCATTGTGACTTTCCTCCCTGACTTTGCCGGCAGCTTCAGGATGAAGAGTAAGCATAAAAAAGGAGGGTGGTGGTCTTCCTCTAAGCTTTGCTCCTCAGTTTCTTAACCGTAACCCTAACCTCTGACTGGAGAGCCTGATGGAGCCCAAGAAACTCACCCTAACTGATCAAGCGCTCAGTGACAAGGGTGCCTCTTGGGTTGCGCTAGAGTTCTGGCCCCCTTGCATGTGACGACAATCACGATGGGTACTGCTGCCACTGCTGGCAAGCCCTTTGGGTTGCAACCTGTGCTGAAGTGGTCATCTAACCCTTTCCATCCTGCCTGTTGCTGCCCTGCCATGAGATCAGTAAACCCAGCTCTGCTCACTCTGTCTGCTCCGGTGAATCCGTTCACCACCCACAACATTAGCCTCAATGAGTGGTTTCCCCTAACTTCTTTATGTTTTCAGGGCATCAGGCTGTAAGACATGGCAGCAGCCATTTGTTCTGTAGAACTTGGTCACTCCTAGCCCTTCTTGTTCATGTCTTTCCCTAACATGAGGGCAATGAGGATTCTTGGCTAGGGCAGTTCCCTGGTGGGATCTGATCCTAGTGTGTGTGAGGACTCCATCCATGCTGTCTTGGTGAACTGACTTTGTCTTTTCCAAAGGGTTGCTTCCCCTGCTTTGTGGGCTGAACACTTTATCCAGAGTCATGCCAGGCTGAGAAAACTCACAGGTGAATAAAGTTGTTCTATACCTGATTCAACTCCTCTGTGCCAGGGACCTTCCTTCAGGGGCCTTCCACTCCAGTGAGCAGGGCCCCCCACTCACTGTGCCATGCCCCTCAGAAGAATGCAGAGTTGCTTGAACTGGGATCCATCCTATCCCAGATACAGGTAAGAAGCATCTGCTCTCCCTTTGTCCTGATCCAATATCCACTTCCAGGTGGGTTAGGGTTAGCTGCTTGGAGAAGACACCCCATTGCTCAACTCAAAACTTCCCTGTGACATAGTGAGCTGAGGGATCTCTGGGATGATCTGCCAAGGAATGTCTCATGGCCTCTGTGCTGTGTCTTGACTTTTTGGGAACATCTCTTGTGTTCCTTGCTGTCTTCGTGTAGTCCTTTTTGGGAAGGCTGAGTCTTAAACATCTGCAAAAATCCAGAGGCTGCTAGTTCCTCTGTTTTCCATCTCCTTGGCAGACAGAGCCTCATGTCACCTTGGATGTGACGCGTAGAACCCTGGATTCAAGAACTTGCAGTGGCCACTACAGTCCTCTGGATAACACAGAAGATATTTCTGGAATGAATCACCTCCTTTACCCTCAGGCTGCACTCCCCTGGATCACCCCAAGCCCCTGGCAGTCTGACAGTCTCAGGCAGGATTAATGCACCATCCCTGCCCAACACAATGTTATCATAGGCCTTTACCCACTTTGACAGAGATTTGGCTGTGCTTATCCCTGGTGGGTAGCCCTGGTGCATTTGGTGGAGTCTCCAAGCTAAAGGCTGCAGGAGCTCCTCAGCTCTTCCCAGACATGACTATCTGATCTGCGGAAACCTGCTGGACCTTGGAAAGCTCACCCTACAAGTGTGCTTCCTGTATTGCAGTCCATGGTGCAATGGGCAGCCTCTGGCTGTCCAGCCCACAGCTCCCTTGGAAGCATATGGCAACAGTCCTCGTAGCTCAGCAGCGGCTGCTACTGCAGATAAACCGTGAGATTTCAGGCTAGCTATCAGTTCCTACCTGGCCTGTGTGCCTGCCGGTTTCTTGCCACGTGTTCAATATGCCTAGCTCTGTTCTGTGTCCTCTGGGGAACCCTTCCACCACCCGCAGTGCTGGCCTCCATTGGTCACTGTCTGGGTCTCTCCTGTAGTTGTCATTGTGTATGAGAGATACAGACACGTGCAAACTTTCTATTAACCAACATCACTTAAGCAGAGCACCCAGAATACATTCACTGCCCAGCTGAAGCTTGTGCCTTTCGAGCAGCATCTCCTTGTCTCCCCCACCACACACACACACCCCTGGGTGCTGTCACTGTGATTCCACCAACAAATGACATCACACAGTAGTTTCTCAGTGCCTGGTTTATGTCAACTGAGACATAATGTTCTCCAGGTTCATCCACTTTGTCACAAATGGCAGAATTTGCCTGTTTTTCCAGACTGAATAATAATCCACACATGTTTCCTTCATCCATTTGTGTACTGTAGCCATGAGGCATAATGCTGGGATGAACGTGGTGGTGCAGAGAACCTCACTCTCAACTTCATTTCCTGTGAATCCACACATGGCAGTGGGTGCTTCCTCATTGGTTGGCAGTGGATGCTTCCTCATTAGTCTCTTTGAGGACCAGAAAGCATGTGGTATCACTCCTCTGAATGAGAGTGGAGGATGAGCTTCACCTGCCACCCACTCGAGATTTCTGATCTGTCCCTACAGCACTTCAAGTCCCATGATCAAGGGTTTATCGCCTCCTTTTCTGAGCTCAGCATCAGAATCAACTTCCCAGTAACAAGGCTTAGGTGGTTGCAGTTCACCCTTTCAGCAGGCTACAAAAGGCCCATACTGGATCCAAATAGTTAATGGGTGGCAAGTAAAACAATTAAGCACTTAAGTGCAATTGGCTCTCAAGGGACTTCATTGCTTCGGGGAAAATGTGTAAGAGTTGTGCATCAGGACATAAAGGGAATGCAAGACTTGGGGGTTCAAGTGGCCACATTATTCCTTAGCCTGCTCACATCCAGCTGAAACTGTGGGGTTGGAGCATCCCACTCCCCTGAAGGTGGTGATTGTGTGTCAACTGAGTAAATCCACAAAAGGAGTTAAGGACAAAAGCACAATGTCTGATTAATTATTCCAACAGTGGACTCTGGCTGATGATCTTACCATGTAAACATTCCAAAATCAAATTCTGTTTCTAGAAAAAGTAGAAAAACAATATTCCTAAAAGTGGGCAGTAATGTCTCTGAAGTAGGAAACATTTGCCAGTGTAGACAGGCTGTGGTTACATGATAGGTGTTAGAGATACCTTTAGAATAAAAAGAAACTTTGAGTGGCACAGCCCAAAGCATGTCACTTGGTATTGGTACGGAGAGATGTCATGAGGACACAGAATTTTAATGGAAAGGCAGATATACAAAGAGGAGAGACAGAGAGGAAGATCTTCCATCTGATGATTCACTCCCCAAGTGACCACAACAGCCGGTGTTGTGCTGATCTGAAGCCAGGAGCCAGGAACTTACAGGGCTCCCATGCAGGTGCAGGGTCCCAAGGCTTTGGGCCATCCTCGACTGCTTTCCCAGGCCACAAGCAGGAAGCTGATGGGAAGTGGAGCTACCAGGATTAGAACTGGCACCCATATGGGATCCCTGTGTGTTTAAGTCGAAGACTTTAGCCACTAGGCCACCACGCCAGGCCCAAGAATCATTTTTTTAAAGAATAATTCCAATGAAAGAGAAAGGGGCATATTTAAGAAGGTGGAGTAGGGCTGTGTGTGTTCCTGGCCTCAGGGTGACTGCATGGGAGGCATACACACAAAGGAACAGCCTTCTCTACCTATGACAAAATGTGACAGCCTCATAACAAATCCATGAAGGTCTCTTTTCTTAGCTCCAGCCTCATCCTGGCTGACCACGGTTGCCATCATTGAATAGAGACAGAAAATTGAAAACAACCTTGGGGATCTTACAATTTACCCAGCTATAAGGACACAGATGCTTGGGAGAGGTCAACTCCTTTATTCTACCAGATATTGTTAAGCTCAGGCAGGCCCAATCCTTACTACAAAAGTTCAGGTGTGAGGCCTTGTTGTGTTCCCAAGTTCCCAATGCCATGGTTCCTCCAAAATGTCTACTGCTGCAGGCTTATTGTGCACCCAGGAGCATGGGCACCAGTTGCTTTATGAAGAAGTATGATGGGGCTGAGGCTGTAGCAAAGCAAGGTAAGCCACCACCCGCAGTACTGGCAGACCTTATAGACACAAGCTCAAGTCCCAGCTGCCCCACTTCCCATCCACTTCCCTGCTAATACACTTGAGAAAGCAGTGGGGGGGGTGGACAAATGTTTGGGTCCCTGCACCCACCCAGAAGCAGCTCCAGTTCTGGCCTTGTTGAGGCCATTTGGGAAATGAATCACAGAATGGAAGGGTTCTCTGGCTCTGTCTCTCACTCTCTCTGTAACTCTCTTTCAAATAAATAAAATAAACATCTTTTACAAAGAAATATTACGTTTCATAGCAGGGGCCAATTCACATCCTTCCGCTAGGGCTGCCCTCCTCAGAGCATGAGAGAGTCTTCTCCAAGGCCCCTTAATCCAACTACTCAGACTCGCAGGTCACCCTAAGTTTCTCCCTAACTCAGTCGCATCCAGGAAGCATTCTCCTAGACACCCTGGAGGAAAGGGACACTATCTAACCTGATCCATGAGTCACCCTATTTTTCTTAGAGTAAATCTTTTCCCAAGGCCACCAACCCACTGCTTTGGCAGGCTCTTTAATCTTAACCCCAGAACTCTTTCCCATTTTGGTACATTCAGTCATTTCATATTTATCTTACTTCATTCTCATGTTTCTAGTTTTTTCTCATTCTGCTTTAGTTTTCATAGATGTAAATTGTAGCTGCCAATTCAGACCGCTATTCAATGTTACTTTATAGTAAATCTGACTTTGCATCTTCCAGAATGAAAGGCCAGGAGGGAAGAAGGGACCAAGAATGAGAGAGAACAAAACTTGGAGCTTTGTGGCTCAAATGCAGGCACATCACCCTTCACCCATCAAGCAACATCATGCTGCAACCCTGTGTTTCCTTACAGCAAGGGAGTCCAAATGAACTTCCCCAAATAAGCTGATTGGGCGCATGGAGAGGCAGCTGGTGATGGAATCTCGCTCTCTTTCTCTTGTAGATGTAGGGTGACTGCTCTTTGTATTTAAATTTAGGGCATAAATTTCCTATGAGAAAGAAACCTCCTTGTTCGAGAAGATGACATTCTTCTCACCAGAGGCAGAACAGTGATGCTGAAATCAGTCTGCACAAACTAACCACTAAAATAGCTCCCCTCATTATTTCCTCCATTGATTTCCTAGCCACTTTCCCACAATTTCCCACTCCCACCCAAACCTTCTTTCCATGTCTTATTACATCTTCAGAATTTATTGTAGCTAAGCTTTTGGGTTTAATTCTTCAGATCTTTATTTCTTCTATATAAAATTGTGTGATGCACAAAAATATTAACATGGAATGCAATTTGCTTGCTGGTCTCTTGTTAGTCCCCAGACTTTGCTGAAGAGCCTAAAATGATAGAGGAAAACTCACCAAGATCATCTGCAGTGACCAACGGTGCACGTCACACTTCGCATTGCCATTTGACTCCTCTGATTTCAGTCAGTGAAACATCTCTCAGTTCACTATTTCACAGGGAAGTTTTGAGCTGAGCAATGGGGTGTCTCCTCCTGGTCTGCATGCTTCATGGTCTCCCTGTCTTCTTCTCAGCCCTCTGCTTGCACCCTCTTCTTATGTGCTATCTCATCCAAGTTTCAATTTTTACATGAACTGTCTTACATCACCCCCACCTTCAGTTTTGTCTGCCTTTTGTGGTGCCCCACTAGGTTTTACTACTTGTCCTCAAAACTAATCCTTCCCATGATCCTTAAAGCATCCCTGCCAGCATTGTGGCATAGCATGTTAAGCTTCCACCTTCAAAGCCAGCATCCTATATGGGCACCAGTCCAAGTCTCAGCTATTCAGTTCCAATCCAGCTCCCTGCTTACACAAAATATATATGCTAAGAGACTATAAGAAACATGCGATTTCAGAGAGATTACAACAGGGGCTATAGAGATAGAACTGACTGTAGCACCAGCTTCCTGCCTGAACACAGTTCAAGTCCTTGCTGCTCCATTGTTGATAGGAATCCCTGCTAAGACACCAGTGGAAACAGCAAATCAAAGCCCTTGGGCCCCTGTCTCCCACATGTGGATGAGGTTCCAAGCTCCTGGCTTTGGCATGACCAGGCATTGATCTTTGAGGCCACTTGGGGAGTGAGCCAACAAACGAAAGGCATGTCTCTCCCTTCCTCTTCCCTCTCTCTCTCCTTTCTCTGTAACTCTGCCTTTCAAACAAATGAAACAAACATTTAAAACAACCTGGGAGCATGAGCACCGCATCTCAACAGCATTTCAGTGGTAATACAGGAGATGAGGTGATCTCACACGTATCAATTCCCAGTCTCCCAATTTCCTCTTCCTCTTAGCCAGGCTATTAGATGGCAAAACAGCATCTTGATCCTCAGGCAGCAACCAAACCCATTTCATGCTTCACCCTTGGAGCCTATGTACTTAAAGCATTGGACACCGGCACTTGGCAGGGATGAGCATTTTCTAGATCAGTCTTGTTGGAAGGTCTGTGAATTTAACAGAGCTGTTTTCTACATGTGGCCAAGCATGGGACTGCTGGCCTGCATATTGTGAGAAAGTGTAGAGTCGGTGGAAAAGTGTCATGGGATGTAGGCTATTGCCTTATATTCTGCTCATTATCCTCAGTCAATTACTCTCAATATTGAGTAGAAGGTATTCTGACAGGCCCAGCTAATCCTCCAACTGCCAGTGCTAGCATCCCATATGAGTGCTGGTTTATGTCCTGGCTGCTCCATTTCCAATCCAGCTCCCTGCTTGGGGCCTGGGAAAGCAGCTGAAGATGGGCCAAGTGCTTTGGACCCTGTGGCCACACAGGAGATCCAGAGGAGGCTGCTGGCTTTGGATCAGCTCAGCTCCAGTCATTTGGGGGAATGAATCAGTGGATGAAAGATCTTTCTCTGTGACTCTCCTTCATTCTCTGTAACTCTGCCTTTCCAATAAAAGTAAATATTTTTTTAAAGGAAGGAATTTTGACAATTGCTTTTTCAAAATGGAGAAATAGTATGCTCTTCTTCTAAATACTGTTTCAGAGACACATTTCTCAGCTATTACATCAAAATCACTAAAAGAGTTTTAAAATTCTAATAAATAACTCAACTGTGAAACTAAATTGTTTCTGCAACTTGTCTAAATGTATAGTGAACTTGTTCATCCAATTTGAAAACACCTTTGATTTAGAAAGTAGTGGAAACAGATTTGATTTTCCCCTCTATTTAACTGGGAAAACTGGGGGCAGCTGTTACGCACCCCTGCAGAGGCAATGCCAAGGGCGAAGAGAAAGCAGCTGCTGTGCACACTGTCCGGGTAAGCGGGAGGGCCCATGCTGAGTGGCTCCTGCCAGGTAGAGGAAACAGGCATGACCAGGGCAAAAGGGGATTATTTTAAAAATGCCTGTTTTCTCCATGGAATTTAATCCTAACAAGAGACTATTTGTCTTCATCCAATGGGCTAAAAGGTAAAGAATGCAAGGTTGAAGGTGCTGAAACAAAGCAAACTGCATTTTCATTGGCTGTGGTCAACTGAGTTATCCTCCTGCACTGGCACAGGTGAGCACAGGCACCCGTGAGACCCAGACACCTGGCTTGCAGGAACAACTGGAGTGAGAGCTGCAAGGTCATGAGCACCTGCAAAGAATGGAGACAATGCAAGAATACTGCTTGTCCTCTAGATGGCACTGTGTGACCCACCCACAAACGAAGTTGGTTTTGACAGAATAGGTTACCAGAAAGATTAGATGGGGAGGGAGGTGCACCAATGGCCCTGGCCTCCTGCCAAATGCGTGGGTTGGGGGTGGCCTCGAGGCTTGGTGTGCCGATGCCCCACTCAGGACATGACCCTGGAGACATGTTTTGCTGTGTACCTGTGGCCTGTCCCACATGCCAGGTAGGCAGAGACCCAAGCCAGGCACTGGCTTGCCCACAAAACTTTCCCTTCTTCCTTTGGTAGTGATGGAAAGGGGGGGGGGGGGCGTGTTCTCAGTTTGGTTTGATTTTTTTCTAAACTAATTTTCTTCTTCTTTTTTACATGAGAGCATTTGCTTTTTAAACACTACAAATACTTTTCTTTTTTCTTCTTTGCAACTTGTTCGAAACTTCGTATCCACAGAGCTTGAGTGGACAGAGAAGCTATTGTCACAGCTGTTATTCTTGCAGCAGCCTTCATTTTGCACACAGCACCAAATAATATGCAACCCTGATACCCTTTGTGCCTGAGCTTCAGGTTCCCCTCTCCCACACTGTGAGAGTTTTGGTTCATCTTGACAAGTGGGATGGTGTGGCACAGGTGGCTGGAACATAGTTCCTGTGTTTCTGTTCCTAGTTTGTATCTGTTCTGCCACAAATATGTACTTCCATCAGTTTTCACTATATTTTGGTGCAAAGCCATTGTGGACACTTGGGGAGTGAATCAGTGGATGGAAGATCTTTTTCTCCCCTTCTCTCTGTAAATCTGCCTTTTGTTTTTGTTTTGTTTTTGCAGGACTCTTCCTTTCTCACAACGGGCACCTAAAGCTGCAACAGTAGGACTGCTGGTTCAGATGGTGAGCCTGTGATTAGCTAGGGAAGAAACTGCCAAGTGTCTTTTATTATGAGTCCCACTAAACACGAATGGGATTCTTATGGCAATTGCCACGGAATTGTGTGTATTGAATGCAGCCATTTTAATGGCTTTTTTAATTTTATAATTTTTCTTTTATACATTTGTTTTTCCCTCATGACAAGTGTTAGGTTCACTGCTTGCCAAAATGTTAGATTCGCCGACCACCAGGGAAAGAATAACTCAGCCGAATATATGAAAAGAATCTAGATGGTCTTTATTTCAGGGAAGCACGGTCACAGGCTTCTCTTCCCGGTGCAGCAGACGGACAGATGTGAAGGAGTGAGCTGCAGAGGAAGAAGAGCCCGGAGGAGACAGGGAAGGGGCCTTTCTAAACTCTCCTTGACATGGAAGCCGAAACAGGGGTCGCCTCGGCCCTTGCTTGGTTGGGGGGATATGGGTTTGTGTCCCTCATTGGTGCAACAGTGGTGTCACAGCCTGAGGGGCCCCGCCAGAATTCTGCCATCTGTTCTGGGTTTGGTTGGAGGCAAACTCTGCCCTCCTCCGGTTACCGTGGTAGCCCTCAACAAGTATTTCTTAACAAGTATTTCTAAAAAAATTTTTTGTGCTTATTTTCTACATGTATATCTTCTTTGAAGTGTCTTTTCCTATTTTCACTTATTTTTATTGGTCTGTTTATCTTTTTATTGTTTTTAGGAGGAGGAGAAAACTATAAATCTTTGAAAAATAAGAAAATAGAGATATTTTAAAAGAAGAAAACTAGTGAGAGTTACCTATGCTACCCACGGTTAAGCTTCTTCATTCTTAACACCTTCCCCCACCCCCTTTTTTAAAAGGTTGACTCATTTTATTGGAAAGGATGGGAGAAACATATTTCCCATCCACTGGATCACTTCCCAAGTGGCTGCAACAGCCAGAGCTGAGCCGATCCGAAGCCAGGAGCCAGGAGCCTCTTCAGGGTCTCCCATGCAGACGCAGGGTTCCAAGGCTTTGGGGCTGTCCTCTGCTGCCTTCCCAGGCCACACGCAGGAAGCCGAAGCAGTGCCCACTTGGGATCACGGAGCGTGCAAGGCGAGGATTTAACCACTGGGCCATCGCGCCGGGCGCCTCACCTTTCTCTCAAAACCAGGAACCAGTACCAGGAATTCCCCTTGTCTCTCGGCAGACGTGTCACTCGCAGCCTCCAGGTAGCCGGAAGCCGAGCCCGCCAAGACGCCAGGGAAGAACAGAGGCTTTCGGGAAATGTAGTCTTGGGCTCCCAGGGCGTCGCCTGCGCAGACCCGGGGAAAGGTTTTTCCGAGTTCCTCTTGCGCATGTGCTGCCCCGCCCACCCCGCCTTCCTCCCGGAAGCTCCACGTGTGGTGGGGTCTTCGGGTCGTCCACGCGGGGTCCCGAGCGCCCGGCGCGAGAGCGGGTGCCGGGGTGCCGGGGTGCCGGGGTGCCGGGTGGAGCGGCGACGCCGGGGGCGACGGCGGGCCTGGGCGCGCCGCGCCAGCCGCAGGTCCCGGAGGCGGCCCGAGCTCCGGGGCGAGGTGGGTGTCGACAGGAGGCGCCCCGAGGGCGGGCGAGCCGCGCGGGCCTGGAGGCGGGCGAGCCCGGGACGCAGCTGCGCTTGGCCTGCAGGGGCTTCCCCCCGGCGCGGGCCGCCCGAGAATTGCTTCCCACGAAGTCGAGTTGTAAAGGAACTTAACTTGCTCTGCGCCTCAGCTGGGGGCCCATTTCTCAGAAGCAGTACTGACTGACGGCCCCTCAGAGTTGCTGTGACCGAGCGCGGGCTTCTGTTAACCGCGCTTCCTCTACTTAGCTGCAAAACAGGATGCGAGTTTACCTTTAAATTACAGCCTAAAACTGACTCGGGCGCTGTAGTTCCTTGGGTCGCCGAGTGAGCTGCAGTCTGCCTCCGGCTGTCTGTGGTGGCTCGAAATGAAAGTTCCATTTTCAGCGACCTCGGGTCTGTCATGAAGCAGTGTGTGAACGCGGGGTGCGTTGGAGCGGGAACAGTCCTCCGTGGCACATCTCTGCTGCTGGAAACGAGACCAGCTCTTCTTTATCACTTAAATTTTAGTGTGGTAGCGCAGTACATCTTACTACAATTAACAGTCACCCTTAGAATGTTAAATTATGTTCTTTTTACACTGTTTCGCAAATAAAGGTTTTCATTAACTTGATGATAACTTGTTTTTAATTATACCAAGTAATAAGGTTCAGGCGTGCCGTTTGCGGTCCTGCTCCTCCACAGGAGGCTTTGTGACCTTCGGTGATCTGGTTTGGCACAGTGGAATCTCAGGGTAGCTGGAGCGTTTCTCTCACTGTTCTGCCCATTCGCCTTCTCTTCCAGGTGTGTGATTCCAGGTTTTTCCACGTGTTTCTAAGAACAAAGAAAATGAACACATTTCCAGTAAGTTTGTTGTTTATCCCTCAGCCTATTTTACATTGTATTTCAGGAAATTTATGCGACTTCATTAATTAGAATGGATACATAAGAATAATTCAGCCTCAGAGAAACATACTTAAATAGGTCGGTTGATGTGATTATGAGACCTTGAAGCCATCTAAATGGAATGCCAAAGGTGTTTTTATCTTGTAGTAAATGGACACTCTGTTACATGATTCTGATTGGCTTAATTTGGAAAGCATGCTACTTCTCATGGGTGCTGGGATCTGGCAACAGGCCCTGGGTCACATGGACAGGTACACAGTGTCACTCCTCTGCAGGGAGGGACTTGGTGCACAGCCAGTTTATTAAAGACTGAGGGTCGGGGGGAGTCAACCAGCAGACAGTGTGTTCTTCTGGCATGCTACTAATAAATAAACAACCTGTGCATGAAAGAAGCTAGGAAAAATGTTTCGCTTTGATCTGTTACCAAAGCTTGAGAGTCAGGGAATTCCTGTGCCAGCCAGTGGGCTTTTGAGTTGCAGCTGCTGCAGGACCTTTATCGTGAGTTCCTGGAGCTTTCTCACAAGAATACAGCTGGTTACAGCTTTATTCCAGCGAGAGTCCCAATTGTCCTCCAACACTTAGCTTAATTATTTAAGATTTCATCAATAAATCATGGGTAGATCAAATACTTTTTTCTTGTCCCTGCTGCACTTAAATCTTCCACTGTATTTAAAACTACTTTCTAGTTTTTTAGGAGAAAAAAACTTTTTTCTGATTATTCTATGTCATGGCTTCTTAATGGCTTCTTTTCCTTGCCTGAATTTCTTCACTTTTTTCTCTCATACATGGTTTGTTCAAGCGCCCTGTTTCTGTGTTCTGCCCAGCGTGTCCCACTGTCTAGGTCTCCTTGAATGCCCTCTGAGGTCTGCCATGTCCATTTATTTCCCTTGCTTTTAGATTAATGTCAGCTCCTTGTCGGATGTTGCTTTGTTACCTGAGGTGCAAAAGGCACCTCAGCTCAGCAGTTGGGAAAATGAAAGGGTAACCCCTTGTGCTTCCCTTAGGTGCCTTAGGTGTTCTACCAACAAACTTTGGCCCAGACCACCAGACAGGCTGCGCTGGCCCCAGTTTTAAACTGACCTGTCATCCATTCCTGCTGTTATTCTTCATTTGTAAATTTTAATTCTACTGCCTATATGCATTGTGAAAAAATAAGAAGGATACTGAAAAACAGTACAGTAACTTTCTACACTGGATCTCAGTGAAAAGGCTGAGAGGTGATATCAGAAATGCAGTTTTGGCTCTGCAGAAGTTGATTCCCTGTGAAGCTGTGCTGCTGCCAGAAGTGTGGTGACGGCCTTAGGGATCCGTTGGGTACATGTGAAGAGTCGAGAGAAAGCTGTGCAGAGTAGAAACAGGAATCTGTTGCTTGTGTGTGTGTTGTGACAGCTGTGCCCGAGAGCGTGGGGCCAGGCAGGGTTTCGGGCCTCAGACGAGGAGCCTGAGGACTGCTCGCTTTTCACGTTCATGGAACTTCTGTCACTTCCTTGATAGACAGTGATCGAATACATTTTTATTAATGTTGCAGGCAAGTTTGCACACCCATAAAAGAACCCAGCATGACACAATGCTATACTTTTCGCAGCCCTCAGGAGTTTATGTACTAACTGCATTAACCAAGACCTGCCCCAGGTGTTCTCTAACTGAAACTTCTGTCCGTGACTGGGCAAGGAAAGCACATTTCCAGCTTTGCAAATGGGCACACCTTTAGCTGTGACACCAAAGTCTAGTCAGTCTTCTCAGTCCTGTGAAAGCAGGACAGCAGCTCAGCACAACTCGTTTGTGAGATTCCCAATAGTGATTGTTCTGAAAAGTTACTTTTGTGGGAATCTTGAGATTAAGAGAGCTTGGGCTGTTGGTGGCCATTTGGGGAGTGAATCAGTGAATAGAAGATCCCTCCCTCTCTTTGTCTCTTCTGTGTAAAAATCTGCCTTCCAAATTAAAAAGTAAATGCATCTTTAAACAGAGAGCTCCCATTTGCTCGTTTACTGTCCCTGAAAGTCTGCAGTGGTCCGCAGCTAAGCTGAAGCTGGGAGCACAGAATTTAATGTAGGTCTCCCAGGCATCAGTTACTTTAGTCATCACTACTGCCTTGTAGGGTTCACATGACCTGTATTCAAGGTCTCCCCTATGTCAGTGATTTTGTCTATAATTTGGACTAAGACAGAATTGTATATTTTAAACCTCTCCCCCCAAAAAATATGTTATCCCACTATTAAGGATTGTTTTCTGTAATTTCAGCAAATTTGTTTAATGAAAAGGGAACGATAGAGGTATACCTCAGTCATAGCTATGATTATGAGTTACAACTGGAGTTCATGGTTAAAAATAAACTGATAGGACCCAGTGCAATGGCCTGGTGGCTGAATCTTTGCCTTTCACACGCCGCGATCCCATGTGGGTGCCAGTCTCCGTCCAACTCCATGCTTGTGGCTTGGGAAAACAGTAGTCCCAAGCCTTGGGACTCTGTACCTGCATGGGAGACTCAGACAGGAAGCTCGGGCTCCTGGCTTCAGATTGGCTGGGCTCTGGCCATTGCAGCCACTTGCAAAGTGAACCAATGGGCGGAAGATCTTTCTCTGTCTCTCCTCCTCTGTGTAGACCTGCCTTTCAATAAAAGTAAGTCTTTGAAAATTAAAATAGTGAAAGTAAAAACTGATAAACTATCTGTAGCCTGGAATTGACCCTCAGTATATTCGCGTCACCTGCAGCATTTTCTGTCTTCTCAGATGGAACTTGGTTTTTGTCAGACTCTGTTTCCCTCTTTCACTTTACCATAGACTGTCATTAACTTGACTTCCTTCATCCACTGGAGGAGCTCATGGGTATAGAGTCACACAGAAGTTGTCCTTTTGGTACTTGCTTATTCATAGAGCAGATTGGCTTGTACATGTTTGAGTTGTCAAAATTTTCTTAAACTTTTAAACTCAGATTCCATTCTGGGTTGCTATTATTTGAATAAGAGTCTCCCCTGCAAAACTCAGGCTGGGTTTTAATTGCCATTGGGAGATAGTGAGACTGTAGTGTTTGGAGGAAACGTCCTGGAGGTGTGTAGGATTAGTTTATGAGACTGAATGTTGATGGCTTTCTGAGAGAGGACAGAGGTGACTCCTGAAGCCCCATTTTGGCTGGACCTTGCCAGCCAGAAGACCATGACCCTTAGACCAGAATTGTAAGCTGAAACACAGAATATGCCTCTTTTTTATAGTATTATGTTCTTAGCAATAAAAATGAAGAAAAAGTATAGCACTTGATTTGTTAATATTTTCGTGCTACCTTGGGTTACGTCCATGTTTTTATAGTGGATACTACTGTGAGCAAGCATGTGCAAATATCTGGTCACATCCTTGCTTTCACTCCTTTTGGGTGTTCTTCCCCCTCCCCCAAAGAGTGGAGTTGCTAGATCAGATGATAATTGATCTGTAACTTTTAATGAATTTCCATACTGTCTTCCACATTGGTTTCACCATTTGCCACTCAGATGAGCCGTGTATTACAGCTTTAATTTCTTCACATGTTTGCCAACACTTTGGCTTTATTTTTTCATAATGGGCATTACAGTGGGTGTAGATCATATTTTTCACTTGTATCTCCCTAATGACTGGTAATGCTGAGTATCATGTGTCTCTAGGCCATTTGTGATTTTTTTTTTAAGATTTTTTTTATTTTTATTGAATAATCAGATATTCAGAGAGAGAGGAAGATATTTATCCACTCATTCCCCAAGTGGCTGCAATGGCTGGAGCTGCAACGGTCTGAAACCAGTAGCTCTTCTGGGTCTCCCATGTGGGTGCAGGATCCCAAGGCTTTGAGCAGCCCTCGACTGCTTTCCAAGGCCACAAGCAGGGAGCTGGATGGGAAGTGGAGCTGCCTGGATTAGAACTGGAGTCCACATGGGATCCCAGTGCATGCAAGGTGAGGACTTTTAGTCACTAGTACCGCGCTGGGCCCATTTATGTGTTTTTTAATGTCCTCACGTGTCCAAGGTAGGGATGTAGCTGCTGGACCCCAGGAAATGCCTTTCTCACTGTTCTGGAAACTGAGTCGTGCAGGATTGGTTTCCTCCAAGGCCTTTCTGTTTTGAAGACTGCCAGGTTCTTGCCATATCCTCACACAGCCTTCTCCATCCCTGGTGTGTCTCTTAAAATGACACAATTTTAGTGGATTAGGATGGATTACATGACCTTAATTAACCCCAGATGGAATCTTAGAAATGAAATAGCAGCATGGCAAATAGCACGCTGTCAGTGCTATGAAGGCAACACTTAAGCCTGACGCAGCAGCTCCTGTGTGAGTGATGATGGTCTTAAGGTTTCCATAACAGTAAACGGATCATGTCAGGATGATGTCACAGCAATACACATGCATGTGCTTAAAGACAAAGCTCCAAACAGCATAAAATAAGAACACACAAGTAAATGGGAAACTTATTTTTAAAAATGCAATTACATTTGGACACTTTTTTTAGTCAGAATACAAAGAAAGTATACTGACGTGACCTGCTGAGCCATAAAAGTGAAATTTTGCACCAAGTTCTTGTATTACAATGGAAAAAAGGAAGAAAAATTAAATCCATAAGAGTGTCAAATATTTAGAGGTTAAATAACACAGTTCAAAATCTGTTTACTATCCGACAGTGATGGGCTTGGTGCGTGGAGCAAGTAATACACGTGGACACTGACTGATGGTTAGTACCTGAAGTCTTATTAACAGCATCAGACTTTTTATGCACAAATAGTTTAGTAGGCATCGTGTAGGAAGGTTTTAGGAATTATGTTTCAACAGCAAGAGGGAGTCTCCTTTCTTGATCTGCTAGTTCCTTTTCCCTATTCTCATTCAAATGACATCTCATGCAAATGATATCCAATCAATTGTCCTACAGATACCGCTCTGTGAGTATGTGCACAGAGCAGGGGGGATACCATAGCAGAGCAAGAGGATAAAAGGAGTCCTGTATT